TTGGGTGCATAAAAATCATTTCAATTCGATTGCATTGGGTGCATAAAAACCACTTTGATTTAGTTGTGGGTGGGTGTACACAGAATAGTAGTAAGATTGGTCGTAAGGACGGGCAGCCGCTGCCGGGAGAGGACGAGCCGCTACACGCCTACATCACCGCCAATAACCCCGAGAGCGTCAATAATGCGTCGCAGAAGGTACGCGCACGCACGCAGACCAACGTATTAGCCAGCGAGCCGTGCAGCCGTGTGCATGGTCAGTTTTGAAACTGCACATCCAAAAATGTGTAGCACGGCCTAAAATATTGATCTAAAGACACACGTACAAAAAAATTGCACTCCCAAATATTTTTTCTGCACTCCCACAATACTTGGCTAATACCCGCACGCACTGGTACGCGCACGCACGCAGACACCGTTCTCTTGTTCTGCCGACGCCTTGCGGTGTTTTTAGCAAGAGGCCGGTAAAGCCGTGATCGCTTCTTGAAGTTCTGCTACTGTTTCAATGTTATTAACAGTGTCAACCTCCCTACCCCACGACCACCACCACTACTATTCTGTGTACACCCACCCACAACTAAATCAAAGTGGTTTTTATGCACCCAATGCAATCGAATTGAAATGATTTTTATGCACCCACTGCAATCAAATTGAAATTTTTTTTATGCACCCATCAACCAATCAAATCGAAATAATTATAAAAGTCAATCCAAAGTAAAGCCCCTTCGCGACGTCGACCGGCAAGTCGACCGACGAATGCTCACTTGTCTCTCTCTTTTTTCGTGCCGCGCAGATAAAGGACATCATCAAGCAGGGCATTGAGGTGCCGGAGGGGCAGAACGACCTGCGACGCATGCAGCTGCGTGAGCTGGCGCTGCTCAACGGCACGCTGCGCGAGGCAGACGGCCCACGCTGCAGCAACTGTGGCGCGAACGCTCACCGCAGCTGGCAGTGCCCGGAGAAGGTCAACGTCACCAACAACGTCATCTGCACAAACTGCGGCGGCGTCGGGCACATCGCGAGCGACTGCCGCGAGAAACGGTGAGTCGTGCGCGCGCGCGTGCTGGTGTGTCTGTGCGTGCGCGCGCATGCTGGTGTGGCTGTGCGTGCGCGCGTGCTGGTGTGTCTGTGTGTGCGTGCTGGTGTGTCTGTGTCTGTGTGTGCGTGCTGGTGTCTGTGTGTCTGTGCGCGCGTGCTAGTGTGTCTGTGCGTGCGTGCTGGTGTGTCTGTGCGTGCGTGCGTGCGTGTGTGCGCGCGTGCTGGTGTGTCTGTGCGTGCGTGCGCGCGTGCTGGTGTGTCTGTGTCTGTGTGTGCGTGCTGGTGTCTGTGTGTCTGTGCGTGCGTGCATGCGTGCGTGCTGGTGTGTCTGTGCATGCGCGCGTGCTGTTGTGTCTGTGTGTGCGTGCGTGCTGGTGTGTCTGTATGTGTGTGCTTGCTGGCGTGTTTGTGCGTGCGCGCGTGCTGGTGTGTCTGTATGTGCGTGCTTGCTGGTGTGTTTGTGCATGCGTGCTGGTGTGTCTGTGTGTCTGTGTTTCTGTGCGTGCGTGCAGGCATGTGTTAGTGCATACCTGCATGGGCATGCGCGTGTTTAGTAAAATGTACTTCTCTATAACTCTTTCCAGTGTTTATTGAAGTTGAATCTGAATTGGCGATTTTGTTATCGCTGGTAAATGACGCACGTTAACTGCTGTGACGCACGTGGCAGCGATCAATGTGTCTAGGAACACTTGAATAATAGACCGTTTGTTTTTTCCGTGCTGTAGGCCTGGTCTCGGTGGACCACCGCCTAGGTTCCCGCCGCCAGGTGGCGTCGGCGGCCCCCAGTTGGCGGCCGACAAGGCTAAGATTGACGAAGAGTACATGTCGTTGATGGCCGAGCTCGGAGAGGGACCCCCGCCCCCCGCGCCAAAGCCTTCCCCCGCCCCCCACTACCGGCCGAACTACGGCTCGCCGTTCGGTGGGCGGGGTATGTCCGACGGCGGCCCGCCGCGGCCGCTCATGCCGCCGCCCTCCAGCGGGGGGAGCCACCCGCCACAGCTGGTGAGTTTGTGTCGGTGCGTCGGTCGATGTGGCTCGCAGAAGGGCGGTTCAGAGATGCCAACCACTACGATTTATCCGTATTTTATCAGGTAAGATATATAGCCCATGTAAGGTAATGCATGCAGTAAGAGATTTAAGTAAGGAAAGGTAAGAGATGTAGATAATGTAATACAGTAAGAGATTGATCAGCTATAATGCAATACAAGTAAAGATGAAGTAAGCATACAGGAAGAGATGTAGGTAAGCATACAAGGTAAGAGATAGGTAATGCATACAAGTAAGAGATGTAGTAATGCATACAGTAAAGATGTAGTAATCAAACAGGCGTAAGAGATGTAGTAATGCATAGCAGGAAGAGATGTAGTA